AATAACAAACAACAACAATAATAATAATCTAAAAAAATAACAACACATTTTGCTAATACACTGCATTTAGACTTTTATAAAGAGCTCAATGTGCTTTACAATACTGCAAAGAACAAAATTTATAAAAACAAGAAAAAAACCCAAAATCAACAACAACAACCAAACAACCATTGGCCGCACTCACTTTTGGTGACGACCCCCTCCAGGAATATGACGTTGGGGTCGTCAAACTGTCCCATGATGCTCGCCTCCGTCAGGAAATCCAGTCGGTTTTTCTCCGTGGCCCCAGGCTTCAGGGTCTTGATGGCAACCGTCATCTCCAGACGACCTGGCATCCTCAGCTTGCCTTTGCACACGTCCCCAAACTCCCCTGGATGACACATGGACAAGTAACAGTTTTAGTCATTTCGAGTTTTACAGCACTTTCAACACAAATAAGGTCGTATTGTCACCAAACTCCCCTGGACCACACATGGACTGGTAACAGATTGAGTCATTTTGAATTTGACAGCACTTTCAACACTAATAAGGTCATAATATATGCCGAAGATAATGTGTTACGAGTACAAGAGAGTAGCAAACATAAAAAAAGAAGGAGGAGAGGTAAAGACGATAAATGTTCGATATTCCTATCAAAGAAGGAGCAAACCCCACCAGAGCACCCGCCAACCATCTACTAGTTAGAGATTTACGACACTTGTAGCTTAAAAAGTCATAATGATAATTATATTCACCAAATTCACTTGGACCAATAATGAACAAGCAATAATTTTGGTCCAAGTTTTACGACACTTGAAACATATATAGGTCGGATAAGAGCCGAAGATTAGGGGTGTTACTTTAGAGCATATTATGAAAAAGAAAAGACGGATGGAAGATAAGAACGATAGAAGTTTGATTTTAGTTTTACTAAGAGTTTTGCATCACTTTCAACATAAATTAAGATTAATAGGTCATATCAATGCTTAATATTTGAGGTGTTACCACCTCCATCTCCTCTTCCCCACCCACCACACACCCCCACACACATACCCCCCCTCACTAACCTCCCCCTATGACCGACTCGATGGTGATGTGGCAAGCGTCAATCTCGCGGGTGAACTCGCGGACGGCCTGGTTCGGATCCTCGTAGGTGTGCGGGTCGACATAGGTCCTCACTGAGCTGTGCACTGAGCCCGGGGAAGGGAACAGAGGCATGGTCACTGAGGAGGAGGAGGAGGGGGGGGAGGAGAGGACCACAGGTAATGAATATCATGATAACAGTCACAACAATAATCATGTTAAAAAAACCCACAACAGGTTCATAATAATAATGACAACGATAATTATATTTTAAAAAGTATATTAATGATAGTA